CTCTGTTAATTGTTTCTTTTGCTGTGCAGAAGCTCTTTAGTTTGATATAATCCCATTTGTTTATTTTTCGTTTGGTTGCCTGTGCTTTTGGGGTCTTATTCACGAAGTCTGTGTCCAGACCTATTTCCTGAAGTGTCTCTCCTACGTTTTCTTTAAGAAGTTTTATTGTTTCGGGGTGTATATTTAAATCCTTAATCCGTTTTGAGTTGACTTTAGTGTATGGTGAAAGGTATGGGTCTAGTTTCCTTCTCCTACATATGGATATCCAGTTCTCCCAGCACCATTTGCTGAAGAGGCCGTCTCTTCCCCAGTGTATAGGCTTGGTGCCTTTAGCAAAGATCAGATGGCTGTAGGTGTGTGGGTTGATTTCTGGATTCTCTATTCTATTCCATTGATCAGTGTGTCTGTTTTTATGCCAGTACCATGCTGTTTTGGTTATTATAGCTTTGTAGTATAGTTTAAAGTCCGGTAGTATTATGCCTCCAGCTTTATTATTTTTGCTCAGAATTGCTCTGGCTATGCCTGGTCTTTTGTTATTCCATATAAATGTCTGGATAGTTTTTTCCATTTCTGAGAAAAATGTCATTGGAATTTTGATGGGGATTGCATTGAATTTATATATCACTTTGGGCAGTATGGCCATTTTCACTATGTTGATTCTTCCAATCCAAGAACATGGGATATCTTTCCATCTTCTTGTATCCTCTCTAATTTCTCTCAGCAGTGGTTTGTAGTTCTCGTTATAGAGATTTTTCACATCCTTGGTTAGCTCAATTCCTAGGTATTTTATTTTTTTGGTGGCTATTGTAAATGGGCAGGCTTTCTTGATTTCTCTTTCTGCATGTTCACTATTGGTGAATAGAAATGCTACCGATTTTTGTGTGTTGATTTTCTATCCTGATACTGTGCTGAACTCATTTATCACCTCCAAGAGTTTTTTTGTAGAGGCTTTAGGCTGTGCTATAGATAGTATCATGTCATCTGCAAACAGGGACAGTTTGACTTCATCCTTTCCAATCTGGATGCCCTTTATTTCCTTCTCTTCTCTGATTGCTCTGGCTAGTACTTCCAACACTATGCTGAATAGGAGTGGTGAGAGTGGGCATCCTTGTCTGGTTCCTGTTCTTAAAGGAAAAGCTTTCAGCTTTTCCCCATTCAGGATGATATTGGCAGTGGGTTTATTGTATATGGCTTTGATTATGCTGAGATATTTTCCGTCTATACCTAATTTATAAAGGGTCTTTGTCATGAATGAGTGTTGGATTTTATCAAATGCTTTTTCGGCGTCAATAGAGATGATCATATGGTCCTTGTGTTTGATTTTATTAATATGGTGGATCACATTTATTGATTTGCATATGTTGAACCAACCTTGCTTCCCTGGGATGAATCCCACTTGATCATGGTGAATGATCTTACATATGTGCTGTTGTATTCTGTTTGCTAATATTTTATTGAGATTTTTGCATCTATATTCATCAAGGATATCAGCCTGTTAGATGTGTTTTGTTCCTTGCTTTCTGATTTACTGTTTGTTTTCTGTGTTTGTTGGTTCTTTAGGATGTAGATAGCCTTTTTGTTTGTTTGTTTTCTCTTCATGTATGCCATTTTTATTATACTAGTGGGTTTTTATTTTTCTTGGGTTTTTATAGCAGTGGTGGTTATTTTTCAGGAACCAAACACAGTACTCCTTTGAGAATTTCTCGTAAGGGTGGTCGTGTGGTGGTGAACTCCCGCAGTTTTTGTCTGTCTGAGAAATATACTATTTGCCCTTCATTTCGGAAGGACAGCCTTGCAGGGTAGAGTATTCTTGGCTG